TTGAAATCTAGGAGACTGTGTGGCTCAAACCTATTCCGCCTCCCATCTTTTGAGAGTTGGCAAATTCCTTCCACGAATATATTCGCACGTAATGGTGATAGAAGTAATATTAAAGGCAGCGCTATAATTACCTCAAGTTTGCTTTTTATCATTTGCATTAGAGGTGCACTTTCTTTCAATCTCCTTGGGTCCAGGCGGTTCTGTAATTATTTATTTATTTAATGATATCAAATTGCAGGCTTTATGATAGTTATCATTAGCCCTTTAGTTGACTTCAGGCTTCACAGAGGGAGAGGAACATCAAATCAATAAAAAGTCGAGAGTGGGGGGGGGGAAGAAGAGTGTTTTGAAGATGTAAAGAGACAGACACAAAGGTAGATGAAAGGTGAGGTGAGTACTGTGAAAGTAGTCGAATATGACATACAGTGAGGTCATGGTATTTTGAAGTCAGAAGTCAACTGCCGGTTTATAGACCTCTTTGCCGTATGAGTATACGTAGCCCAGGGTGCACCAAGTGGAGGTAGGTCTATCGCACACCCCGGTTCTTTAATTATATTTATTCCTTCAGCGTCAATCCCGTTCACCCATTTAATAAATTCTCCAGTGGACTCTTTCTCAGCAAAGTGTGCATACTAAAAGCCATTAGAAGCATTAGAACTTCTAGAGATCAAGGAAATCAGTTTAAATAGTTGCTGTGTCTCCAAGCCCACTCAAACAGAAATAGTGTCGTCAAAATTTTCGACTATTTTATTTAAGACCTAGTAGCATTGTGCACACTACAGAATTAAATCGATAAATATATGACGCCATATTCTTATATAAATTTCTTTGTTACCATTACCAAGAATTCAAATTATTGATTTTATGGAAAGGAGCGGGACTTAGTAAAATGAAAGTCCAGTAAAAGGTAAGAGGAGAGGAACAAAGTGGTCATAAGTTATTTATTGTTTTTTTAACCTAAGTCGAACGATATTTTCTAAGTGAGTATCTTAGACACCGGAGTTTGATTTTCACGAAAGCGGCCTGGAGGGTTGTAAATGTTTTCCTGGGATGATTAATGCTTATTGACTGACTGTTTTATCTAAATTTTTCTCCAGTTGAAGGGAAGTATAAATTACCTTATTTGATATTTCGCAGCTTAAAGAGTTAATATGAGAGCGATTTCATCGAAGAGGAAGTTAGTTTGGTGAAACTCCGAATGGTGTATACTTCTCAATCCACTAAACTCCAAAGAAGTGTACAAATTTACCAATAGCAAAGATATGGGAAACGAATCTCAATATCAACTTGAGGAATATTTACTTCTTCAAGAAATTTGCCAATTTCTCTTAGCTCTTTTCAAATTGAAGATAATTTTAAAAGTGAAATACTTTACAGAAGTCCTTATGTGATCTGGATTAGTTGGCACGTTTTAAGCGAAATTGTCAATCATACAGATTAGGATCGATTAATACAAGGATTGGCAGAGTTTGCCTACCTCTAGCGAAAATTCAAAGTTAATAAATGTCAAAATTAAGAACATTGTTGGTGTCTTTGCATACCTTGAAACCTACAATAGGTCAAGTACTAGGAAAGAGAAACAACCTTACAGAGCCTCCCTAATGGAGAACATGAATTATGCCACTCTCTATGTCATTTATATTTAACCACTGTGTGTACATTAAGAGTGACTACTGCCTTGGCAGATTAACATATTTTCCCTGGCTCAAACTACTAAATGATCTTCTGCAAAACCACATTGTTCGTAAACCGTTCATAAGAAGCTATTTCGCATATTTTTCCCTAGAGCACCTCAATTATTGTCCGAATTTACTCAATCCAATTTTATTCGACCATCATCTCTAGCGGATATTCATGTACTATCACAAAAACACCATATACTACTAAAATTATCATTTCAGAGACGAAATTTTCTCATGCAAAATGGAAAATCTCAATCGAAACCGATGTAAATATCTTGCTTAATGTCACAGTAAACACATACCAAAACAAGTAATAAAGGTGAAGGCAATAATTTATAATGGGGGGTGTGCGATAGACTTACCTCCACGTGGTGCACCCTGGTCAACGTATACTCATACGGCAAAAAAGTCTATTATTCGGCAGTTGACTTCCGACTTCAAAACACCATCACCTCACTGTATGTCATATTCGACTACTTCCACAGTACTCACCTCATCTTTTTCACTCTACCTTTTTGTCTCTCTCTTTTATATCTTTGAAATACTCTTCTGTTCCCCTCCCCCTCCTCCTCTCGACTTTTTTTCACTTTGATGTTCCTTCTTCTCTATGAAGCCTGAAGTCAACTAAAGGGCTTATGATAACTATCAAAATGCCTGCCATTTGATATAAATAAATAATTTATAATGGGAACCATACATGGGCACCAAGAATTTAATGGGAAGGAAAAGTCAGAAAATGCGAAGAAAAAGCACACTAAGGCAGGGTCAAATTTTCTCCATGTGATTGTTTTGGATCGAAAATCGTTAGTCGTGAGTGCGAAAATTTATCGTACGTGGCTACCATAGTTTCCGGGGCCTCTGGCGTTTGCATATTGGGCATCACTGAGGCACATTGGATGAAATTATTCATGCGAGAAAGGATGTTTAGCTCCAGAGTAACGAACAGCTCTGAGGCAGTTACTAGATACACTTAATCTTCTGTAAGAACGTACAAACTTCTTATTTGTGAATAGCAGCAACCCACAAAGCATGTAAATTGCAATTAATCCGACATAGTATTACGCGTGATCATCCACTTCAAAACGTGCCCTTGTCATATATTTGTTTGCTTTACATTATGAAAACTGGCATAGCTTTTTAGCCTCAAAAGGGAAAATAAACAATAAATGAATGTTTTCCAATTCAAAGAGGATGAATCATTCTAAGCTATATAGCCTCACATTTATTAAATTTTTTGACTATTAGCTACTTCTTCAATGGTCTAGAAAATAAAGAATAGTAAATGGTTTAAAATATAGACGATATTCTTACAAAATATGATTGTAGAAATTAGATTTGACAATAAAATATTCTTAAATAATTGAAAGTAAAACTAAAATTTATTTCAAATAACCTTTCATTTTCAAGCCATTTTAGTGCCTACGCAATTTTGTTCTGCTTAAAAGATTGCTGAATTTATTTAAAGGTCAGTAACCTTGATTACCATTTTAAATACCTGTCTACACATTTTTTCTGGGAATGGTGATTAAGGCACTAAATCTGGTTATAACTATAGAAATACTTATCATTTTCATTGGTAACATTGACAAATTACTCATATTGTGTCACAAATAATGGTATTCAAATTTTATGACTTTTTATTTTAGAAGTCGCTTTGGTAAATTCAACGCCGTAAGTAATCAGAAATTTTGGCCTTCCTTTATAAGACGGTCCTAACTATATTTATGCCTTTTACAATTTAGGAATTTATATGGGGGAATAGGTGCGTTGATGTTTTGAGTAAATTTAAAATCTATACATTAATAATACAATGAAACTGAACTGCAATTTTTTGTACTTACCAATTGAAAGAATTATTTAATTTATTATAATCTTTTCATTGTTTGTAAACAGCTTATCAAGTTGGGGTCATTTTTTCAGATTTACTCGAAAGTATTTTTTTATTTCTTACAGACACCTTTTTAAATAACTTTGAATTCAGTGAAGACTTTAGTCTTAAATATATATTTAAATCTGAATTTTATGCATATCTAATACCATACTTTCTTAGCTATTTAATTTCAATCTTTGTTGGAATTACCTTTTTTGCTTTTTATTATCAACAGCAGTAATTCTAGTATTCTGGCTGAATGAGCATTAGTGTAATGCTCATAATTTGTATTGTACTTAAGAAGTATGGATTGATTACATATTTTGGAATAGTTTAGAATGCATTTCAATTAATGTACTCGTCTGATAGATCAGGGTTTGGGCTGTTAAAATCCATTTAGGCTTACTAATAAGTTAGGTCAATAAACAGGTGGCAGAATTCATATTATTCACAAAAGTATTTATTCCATGTATTAATTCGTGTGCTGTCGACATAGTGGTTCACACTTGTTTTGTTTATAAATATACGGAAGGACAGCGGTAAGCCAAGGGTTCGTGCTTATCTTACTCCTTTTTAATGTGCTCAAGCGTGGCTAAAAGCTCAGCCAATTTAAATAGAAATAAGATTGTAGATATTTCGCGATTCATGTCCATCCATTGAATTCATGTATTGTGTTCCTTTTTCATGCAGGCATTGAAACCCTAAGGGCTACTGAAGTTAAAGACACTACAGCAACATTTTCTTGGGATGCGAAGGAGATTGATGGGAACGAAGTTTTTAACGTCAAGATTTACGTCTTCCCAGCTAAAAACACTGCAGATAGTTCAATCTGGGAATTTTCTGAGCCCAATCAACAGATTTGCATAGTAGGTAACCTTTCCTCTAATACAAAATACGCCGCATATGGTGTTATGTTTTTGAAAGAATTCGTCCCGGAAGAAGGTTCTCCAAATATTGTTGATTTCCAGACTACACCAATGAGTAAGGCCTATTTCTGATTATATTTTTTCATTAAGTTAACTTATTTGATGTTGACACTAAATTTAATGCTATTTCTTTCCATTTCATTTACACAGCACCTCAGAAAATTAAAGTGAGCTCACGAACTGATTCATCCATTGAGGTATCGTGGAAGATACCGGAAAATGAGGTGAAATCACCACCGATTAATTACATAGTGAAAGCAAATGATAGAGGATGCAATTCTACGCAGAAGGATACATGCGAAGTTAAAAATCTTACTTCAAATACGTTCTATGAAGTCACAATTGAAGCTTGTTCTGCCGAGAACTCGAGCATATGCAGTGAAAAATCAGATGTTTCAGGATTTACAGCACCAGCAGGTAGGAAACAATACATTGAGCAAATAATCCGAATTCCCTTGTATATATATGGCTAAGGGGTGCTAATTAAAAGATATCGTTTTAATGTACAGATTCATGTTTCCAGATCCAGAAGTGCAGAAAAGACAGAGCACACATTAGTGTAATGCATTCGGACATGTGTTAAAACACTCCGTAAATTGTCGAAGGGTTTTAAGCGACGGAAAGAGGTTCAAGCTTGCTGATGCTCGTTTCTAATGGGCTAAAGGAAGGCAATAGGCCATGAAAAAACCAGAGAGTTAAAACTTCGAATCCTGCTTAGAAACGCAAGTAAACCACATGGAAGATATTGGCAACTATTGACTGTCCTAACAAATGAGACAGAAGAGAACAGTTTGGTGATGAGGCAAAAATTTCTCACACTTACTATGACAAGGCATGCAGCGCTAAATTTTAGATGTAAATTCGATTATAGATAGTCTTAGATGTACGAAATGGAGTAAATAAGTCAGTGTATTGTGAGGTAGTTATTTTAAAGTTATTTATTTATTTCAACTGGCAGACTTTATGATATTTATCATTAGCCCTTAATCTTTGACTTCAGCTTCCCCCAAGAGGGGGGGGGTACATTTAAGGCAGTTAATTAATAGCAGTTCATTAGCAGTCTTCTTGCTTCCCAGTATCTTTGGCTTTCCGTCCTTGTCTTTAGAGCTGGACACCGAATCAGGTGGGTCTTCTCCATTTCCTCCTGTAGGTTACATAGAGGGCATGTGGGTTGAGTGTATACTCCCAATCTGTGAAGGTGTTTTGCCAACCAATCGTGTCCGGTACGTAGTCTAAACTCAGCAACGGCTTCGATTCTTGGCCAGTCGGGCATGTCGGAGAGTGCCACTGTCCACTGTTTCTCCATTGTTCGAGCTTTGAGTTCGTTGAACCTTGAGATCTGGAATTCTCTCATGATTAAGGCCTTCATTGTGTGGAAAGACATCGGCCGGTCCATGCATTGCAAAATCGTTGTCCCCTTCTTAGCAAGTGTGTCAGCAAGCTCATTACCTTTAATGCCACAGTGACCAGGAATCCATTGTAGGACCACTGTTTTGTTTTTCTCTCTCAGCAGCTGATAGAGTTTTCTACATTCCTTTATCTCAGCTGTTTTGGGTGTCTCTCTGTTTCCAATAGAGTCTATTGCTGACTGCGAGTCCGAAAGTATCACCGATTTAGTGAATTTCGTATCCAGGCAACATAATTGGCATAGTGCTATCCTAATAGCCCCTATTTCTTCTTCAAAAGCGGATCTATTATGTCCCGCTGCTGCGTAGAAAGAGAAGAGTTCAGAATAGGCACCTGCACCAACGTTTGCTTGGCTTTCTATGTATGACCCATCAGTGAAGACTTGGAGCCATTGATCTGCAGGATAGTTAACATTGATTGTCTCAAGGGCCAGTGAGCGCATTTGCTCTGGAGGAGTGTTTGATTTCCTGAAGAAGTCGAGCAGTTGGGTGCGACACACTACATCAATGTCTGCTAATGGATTCATGGGGAGAGAGAGGCTTTTTGGTTTATCATCGATTTGTAACGCTTTCTTCAGTTCTATGGCTTTCTGTATTAGACCAGATTGCGTTTTCAGATGTCTTGGTCTATTCTCATAGGTGCTGAAGAACTTGTCTATGGGAATGCGCAGTAGCTTCTCATACAGGA